TATTTAATTAATTTTATCTTATAGAACATTCCTTTTTTTAAAGGAAAATGTTTATATTAAACTCATTGAACCAAAAATCCAAACATCCAACTTACCCTAGACATCATATAGCTAATATGCCCTCGCACTCCCTGATCAGGCATATATAGAATAATATGTTGCCCAATACTGAGCAAGATTAATCGTTGAACATGCGAGAGATTAAGAGTTAATATCAACCAAATTAGCCTGATTGCTTCCACTCATTCTCACAACAAAAGCACCCACAACTCACACTTATTAATCGAATAAAAATGTACGTCATAACAAAAAATAAAACTTAAACGAATAATAGAGCACAAGAGCGCAGGTGACCAAATCTAGTTGTGAAACGTCCGCCTCCAAACCTAGGTCCCGCGGTCTCTCCAAGGTAGTGGTTCAAGAGGGGGGCGAGCCGTCAATACTTCATCCTCCTTGTTCAACTCGTCATCTCTTTCCGCCTCCGACCTCTTTCTGTCCCTTGCATCGTCATTCATCATGTTTGGAACAGATTTGCCCTTGTTTTTGTTGGCCAAGGTTTGCATCTCACCTGTTGTATTGCCCTCCATCTCCCCACTGCTAATAAGAAACCAAACGCCGACGACTTAGCGCGGCTCCAAAGCCCTAGCGCACGACCTAGTGTGGCTCCAAAACCCTAACGCACGAAAGCGTTCACTTCCGCTTGCGTTCACATTCCTTCAACATCATGAATTAAATATTCTAATCCGATTAATATTTAACTCATCTTATTTTCAATAGTATGAATTAAATATTATTTAATCCAATTATTATTTAATTCCTTCTAACAACTCAATCAGAGGTATAATCACTTGTTGTATGACCCATGAGACCTTATATATTAAGCACTAATCAAATTAAAGTCTTAAAAACTCTAAATCGCAACGTTTTACCAGACAATCCTAATAGATTAGGACATTTACGAGCACTACAAAACTGCCTATAATATAGATTTCATTGTAATCCGGTCTTTTTATTCACGAAAATTCAACTTAGTCTAGAACTTGATGTACTGTCTATTCTAATAACTCGTTCTCTATATTTTTATTCTTATATTTGATCCATAACAATCATATTCAAAATCCAAAACGAATATATATATATATATATGTGTGTGTGTGTGTGTGTGTTTTAGTTCAAATAAGAACATGATCTTAGGAGAGAAATGAGAACGAATCTGGACCTTTAGATTTGCTTTAAGTGAAACTCTATATGCATTAGATGAAACTATAATGTGCATTAGGTGAAATTGAAATGTGCAGCACAAATGGTACAATACAATGACATTATGTGAAGCTGAATTGTGCATTAGGTGAAATTGAAATGTGCACTAGGTGAAACTGAAATGTGCTGAAATAAAAGGTACGATGTGATGTTATTTATATACATTTTATTTCGCACATTTTAGTTTCACCTAATGCACACTTGAATTTAATTTTTTATTCTGCACATTTCAATATCATTTGATGCACATTTCAGTTTCACCAAATGGACAATCCAGATCCACACAATACAATCCAACGGTCCAGATTTGTTCTCATTTCTCTCCTGGGAGTTCGTTCTTACCGGAACCGCTCCCTATATATATATTGATGGATAGTCTACCCGGGGGTGTATATCCGGAGGGTTATTGCGGGAAGTAACAAGAGAGAAGTCAGAGCAAGTAAGTAAAAGTAGAGAGAGAGTGTATTCAGTATGAATGCCGTTTTCAGCGTGGTTACAAATGAGGAAATGGGGTGCTATTTATAGTAGCAATAAATGTCGGGCAGGAACACGTGTCAAGCGCTCATTGGCCGAGGGGTCACTTCAACTGGTTGGCGCTGGCAGCCGCATGTGGCCGCATTTAATGCGGCTGTTGGATGGGACGTCTGTGCGGGGTACGGTGATCTGTACGCATGTGAGGCGGATATCTTGTCGAGTGAGATGCCTTCGGCCACAGAGCAGTAGCCGAAGGCTCCTCCAACCGAGGGCACCTTGGTGCCGAGGGCTCACAGTACCGAGGGCTACTGTTTTCACCGTTTTCTCCCAGTTTCTTAGTTTGCTTGAGAAACCCGTTATGTGAGAGGTTAGACCCTTCGGCAAGGGGGCCGAAGGCACCCCTGGCGCGTAGTGCGGGCTGCTTGGTACTCTAGGCGCTGTGATTTGGGCCTGTTGGGCCTTTTGGGCCTATTGGGACTTCGCTGGAGTAGTAGGAGTCTGTGGGCCGGGGGTTCCCGGGCCATATACTCCATCAGGAGTCCCTCACTCCTTTTGCCGAAAGGTACTCGAGGGAAAAGGAGTAATTTGTGCTTGCCCTTTGATGTTGTCCCGTCGTGATCTCTGAAGTTGGTGAGGAGTTGTTGCTTTTATGTCCCTGCCGAAGGCAGTCCCTCAGTTACCCACATGTCGGGACTTGAGGGCTTGCTTTGGAGTTTCTATATCTTTTGTAATTTAATGATTTTCCCGAGGGGGTCCTCCAGTCCCCCACTCCTTGAGGCACTTGTAAAGTGGTGACAAGGAGTAGAGTAGTTGCGTTGCTGTTGTGGGCCGAAGGCTGACGTTTTTCATTTCATTTTGGGGGGATGCCTCGTTAAAAACCTCATTAGGAAAAACCCTGTGGGAAAAAATCCTAATGAGGGAAAAAGAGTGCACCGAATTCCCCCAATGATGAATCGAAAATGTCAAACCTTGGTAAAAATGGAGAATAACGGGAATGCCGAAGGCTCTCTCTTCTGAGGGCTCCTGTGTTGATTAGCCGAAGGCTTGCTGTTGATGTCCTGGTGGCGCTGAAGGGGAGCCCCTCAATCCGGGGATCGAGGGCCTGCTGGATGAGGGCGGCAATGGAGTTGTTACCGGGGGGGTCCACTGTTTGTTGATTAGTTGGTGATGAAGGTACCCGAGGGCTCCCATTACCTGGGTGCCACGGGTCATCCGTCAATGAGGCAACTCCCCGGGGGCTATCCCGGTTTCGCAGTGCTGAGGGGGAATCCCCGAGGGGTGCCCTGATATGCAGCCCTGGGTTTCTGAAGGAGTGATCCCGGAGGCGTCTGTTATGTGCTGTGTGGGGCACAACCCGGGGGCGTCTCTGGGTAAGCATACCCGGAGGCTCTCCTTGACGAAGAGGAGTGAAGTGGAAAACCCGGGGGCTTCCAGAATATAGCCGTTGGAAATATAGCCATTGGAATATGTAACGACAGGATATAGCCGTTGGGGGGGTGGCACACGTGGCGTGTGATGGCTGGCTGTTCGCGGGCGGCGTCTCCGGTTGGGTGAAACGACGGTGTGTAATGATGACGGTCCGTCCGGAGGCCCGGTTTTCGGGCCCAAGCCCGGATTCCAGCGCCTATAAATACCCCAAGGCCAGAGCCATTCCCGCTGTGCGAACTTAGTTGTCTTAGCGAAGCTCTGCCAAAAAATCTAGTGAGAGAAACTCAGGCCTTCGGTCAGAACTTCTGCTTTCAAGGTCAGTGCCCGCTTTCCCTTCACCTCTTAGCTACCTGTACTGTGCCCTTAGGTTAGGAGATAGAAAATTTAGAAACGCTAGCGTGCACGAGCCTTCGAACTAGAGTCAGCATGTCGTCCCAGAGTGATTCTCAAGATATCTCGGGGGCGCCCTCGGTGGAGGATGAAGTCCTCTCGGACGTGGAGTCCTCAAGTGCAGAGTCCTCGGTGGGACAGGATGCCGTCATTGCCCTGGAGTTGCAGAAAGCCCTCGTAGCTGAGGCGGAGGCCGGGGGCTTTGAGCAAGAATGTGAGGACGAAGAGTTGGCCATCGCCTGGCAAGCAGCTGAAGAGGAGGCACAAAGAGAAAGCGAGAGGGTCACCGTTGCTGTGCTCCCCCCTCGGGGTGCCGGGGAGGCCAGCACCTCTCGGCCGCTGAATGCGGTCCCCCTCCGGGTGGCCCCCGGAAAGAAGAAGGCCAAGGCCGCTGTTCCCAAGAAGAAGGGCAGTGTAGCAGATCAAGGGAAGCCCCTCGATATGCCCGAGGGGTACTCCTATCTCAACACCGCCGCATTGGAGATCAAGTCGAAGGTTGATGTGGCGGACATCTATGTCACCCAGCTTCACGTGGGCCCCTCGGCCATCGTGGTGACACCGGGTCCGGATGACGTTCTCTCCCGGGCTCCCGAGGGCTGCATTGCGGTGCACGTCCTCTCAGTATCCATGGGGCTCCGCTTCCCCCTGCACCCCTTCCTCCGGGAGTATCTTCGGTTCGTCGGTCTGGTTCCATGCCAGCTGACCCCGAACAGCCATTCTTATATCACTGGCTTCCTTCAGCTCTGTAAGTCCCGGGGGGTGACGCCTAGCCTGGACCTCTTCTTCCAGAGCTTCAACCTGTGCCGGGGGGGGGGGGGGGGCACGCGAATGCCGAGGGATTCGCCAATCTGCAGCAGGTGTCCGTGTTCAAACTCTTCACCGAGGCGCCCTCCTCGAACAAGGGGTGGAAGGACCGGTGGTGCTATGTGAAGCTAGCCGAGAGCCCCTTCCCGAGGGAGCTGCGTGACCGCTTCAGGAGGCACGAGAAGAGGAGGAGCGCCGCCCTCGAGAAAGATGGCAGGATTCTGGCCATGATCCCGGAGGGCCGGGACAAGAATATCTCCATCAAGGATTGCACCAAAGAAGCAGATCTCTACACCCTCGGGTTCCGGCGGTACCGGTTCCTGGGGGAAACTGATGAGAAGTTCCCAGTGTTTGAGGGAGCCTCCGGAGGTAGTAGCTGAGGGCATTCTCACCCTCATCTTAGCACGTTTGTTCATTTGTTTTGTTAATCCTTTATGCCACTTAGTAGTGACCCCTCGATCCTAACCCCTCATTTTTTTTGCAGGTGTTCCAGTAAGTATGATGAACGTCAAAGGCCTCGCCCGATTCAAGAACAAACAAGCCAAGGATCCGAAGGGGCCGGACGCAGGTGGCCAAAAGCCCGTCGGTGCGCCTCCCAAAAAGCCCGAGGGCGATGCTGCTGCGGCTAAGAGAAAGCCGTCAGCAAAGGAGCCCCCCCAAGCCCCCAAAAAGTTAAAGAAGGGGGATGCCGCGAAGGATGACCCCCCGGTGGTGATTATAGATGACCCTCCGGAGATGCCGACGGCGCAGGTGCCGAGGGGGGTCCGGGAGCCATCTCTCGAGGTCCTCACGCTCTCCCTTCCGGCTGGCACGGCCGTGTTGAATGGCACGGCTGACCCGAGGGCGCTCCTGAGAGGTATAACCCTCGATATCGACAGGGCAGCTCTCGGGGCCGATGATGATCAAGCCCTTGAAGACAGGATCCTCCGGTCTTCCCTCACGGTGAGTTCACTGTAGTTTGTCTTTTTGTTTCCCACTTTGAACTAAGAAATCACGTTTGGCCCTGACAACCCGCTTATCTTTGCAGACTTGCGTTGCCCTCGGGGAGCAGTTCCGACGGCTGGAGGAATGGCGCCTCCACAAAGCTAGGCAAGACGCCAAGATGAAGGAGCTGATCCTTAGGGACTCCCAGGCCACGAAGCTGATGGCCCAGCTTGAGGAGGACCTCCGGCTTGCGAGGGCGGAGGCCGAGAGGCTCAGGGAGGAGAAGGCAGAAGCTGAGGCGGCCGCTGCGGAGGCCGCAAGGAGAGTAGCCGAGGAGGCTGAGGCCATCAAGGCGAAGGCTGTCGCCACAGCCCGGGAGGAGGTCATCTCCGGGTTCCTGGACGGGGGGTGGAAGACCGAGGGGCACAAGGCATGGTTGTCTTCGATTGTTGAGGCCTCGGTTGATGAATGGTCCGAGGGCCCGGGGGAGGAGTGGATGGCCCGAAAGGGTAAGTAGTATTATGATGGGGGTGAGTTCTTCACTCAAGCCCTCATCTACCGGAGGATGGCCCGCCATCTGAAGGTTGAGCCGAAGGACTTTGACCCGGCGGCGTACGGGCTCCCCCCTCTGCAGCCAGATATCCTTGTTCCTCTCCCCCTGATGTCGAGAGGCCAGACCTGGAGGATTCCGAGCTCCGAAGGGAAGCCTAGGGCGACGATCCTGAGGCCGATGCAGAAGTTACCTCGAAGCCATCGGGGGAGGCGGCCCCCGGGAATGACATGATTTGATATGTACTCTGTAATTTGAACAATTTTGTAATAGCCTCGGCCTAACATTGTAAAAACTATATTTACTCTTTGTTGTGATGAATGATTGAATGCCTTCGGGCTTTGCATATATGAATTGTTTTCTCCAATTCCTTTCTTCTTGAATGTATGCCTCCGTTTTCCTTGAGTGTATGCCTTCGGTATTTTTGAATGTATGTCTAGGACTTAGAATATTTTTCGATTGTAGCTTGCCCTTGGAAGCCTTCGGTAGTTGGGCACCCTCTGCTGGATATGCAACCGAGGGTTCATCAGCAATTAGGACTTAGAAAATTTTTCTAAGTGTAGCACACCATAGGGCCTTCGGGTGTTTGCAGTAACCCAAATCCTAGGACTTAGAAAAATTTCTAAGTGTAGATTTCCCCTTGAGAGCCTTCGGGATATGGCGTCCCTTCCTGATGTGTGAATGTTGGACCGAGGGCCCAACGCACAGGACTTAGAGATTTTTTGCAAGTGTAGTATGTCATGTAGCCTTCGGCTACTGTGGAGCCCCAACTGAAATATTGAATAGGCCGGGGGCTAATTCTTTAGGACTTAGAAAATTTTCTTGAGTGTTGATTCCTTGTGTACTGTAGCCCTCGATTGATAGGTAGCCTTCGGCAATTAGGTCCCTTGAGATGAGGGTGAAATATGTAGGACTTAGAAAATCTTCTAAGTGTAGAGTTTCCCTTGGGAGCCCTCGGGAGGTGGCATCCCTCCATGATGTATGAGTAGCTGACCGGGGGGGAAAATATGCAGGACTTAGAAAATATTCTAAGTGTAAAATCTCCCTTGGGAGCCTTCGGGAGATGGCATCCCTCCTTGATGTATGAGTAGTTGACCGGGGAAAAGCATGTAGGACTTAGAAAAATATTCTAAGTGTGGAGTTTCCCTTGGGAGCCCTCGGGAGGTGGCATCCCTCCATGATGTATGAGTAGCTGACCGGGGGGGGGGGGGAATATGCAGGACTTAGAAAATATTCTAAGTGTAAAATCTCCCTTGGGAGCCTTCGGGAGATGGCATCCCTCCTTGATGTATGAGTAGTTGACCGGGGAAAAGCATGTAGGACTTAGAAAAATATTCTAAGTGTGGATTTTCCCTTGGGAACCTTCGGGAGATGGCATCCCTTCTTGATGTATGGCCTTCGACTGTCATATTCCTCTAGCTGCAATACTGACTGAGCCGGGGGGGCCATCTTTAGGACATAGAATTTTTTTGTTTGCAAGTGTTGTTGTATCGCATAGCCTTCGGCTATTGTATTCCCCTGGCTGTAATGTTGATTGAGCCGGGGGCCCAATTTTGGGACTTGGAATTTTTTCAAGTGTTGTTTCTTTGTGTAGCCTTCGGGTGATAGGTGCCATCTGACTCTGCATTACTTTGCGAGATGCCTGGGGGCTACTAATTTAGGACTTAGAATATTTTCTAAGCGTAAATTGATGTTGAGCTTCCGGATGTAGATCCCTTGTGTTGTATGAGTCTCTGGCTGAGGGCCAAATATGTGTGGAATCTTGTTGTTGTGAAGAATGCCAACGATGAGTGTGTGCCCTCGGCCTCATTTTTAGAAGGTGTAGATTTCGACCCTTGCTGGAGCCTTCGGTGCCTGTGTGACCGGAGGTGACCAGGCAGTGGACTTAGCCGTTTCCTAATGATATTTGTTTGAGTAGTATCCTTCGGGAAATAGGAGCCTTCAGTTACCGGAGGTGTTCCCGTGGGGAGCCCTCGGCTTGTTGTGATCTGTTGGAGTGTACTCTTTGATTTCTCGCTGAGTCTACTCCCCTTCAACCCCCTTTTTTTTTTTTGGTAGGTGGTGAAGGGAAGGCATCAAGAAACTTGGTTTCTTGGTAAGGCTGGGCCAATTGGGAGACCATCAGAATACACCAATGGCTCTCCTCCCTCGGGTTAACCTTCCGAGTTCCGAGGGGATCGAGGGACGTTTCCTGGGCACAAGATATGGTGGTCCGTAACCTGCCTCCCCTTGGGGGATGGCGCGGAAAGCGCCTCATTTTTGAAAGTCGTCCCCTCGGCGCTAGACATAGTCCGTGGCCTGCCACACTCTTGGGGTGGTGGCGCGGGGAGCGTTTCGGTTTGGAAGTCGAATCCTGGGCATTTCTCATGCCTGTCATACCCTGGGGGTAGTGACGCGGATAGCGTTCCGTTTTTGAAAGTCGAATCCTGGGCATTTCTCATGCCTGTCATACCCTGGGGGTAGTGACGCGGAAAGCGTTTCAAGGAAGGGTTTTCATTTGCACACTAGTTGCAAATGGCCGGGGGCACTACGTGCCGCCGGCACCGATGGTGGCGCCTTCGGTATATGCGTCCTCGTGGGGTACGGCTTTTAGAAACAACACTTGGTGTTAGTTTCGATGTGTAGCCTCTGGTACTTGGTACCGAGGGGTCTTCTGTAGGAACACTTGGTGTTCTCTTTTGTCGTAGTTCATGTAGGCGTCTACCCTCGGTACTTGGTACCGAAGGGTCTTCAAATGAAACACTTGGTGTTTCCCAACAGATGTTTGGAAGTTGATAGGAGAGCATATCCCTGGCACTGGGTGTCGAGGGGTCTTCTTTGAAACATTTTGGTGTTTTTTCTTCGTTTCGATGTTTGATGATGGAGATGTACCCTCGGCACTGGGTGCCGGAGGGTCTTCTGTAGGAACACTTGGTGTTCTCATTTTTTCTTTTTTTTTATGTTGAAGGGGATGTACCCTCGGCACTGGGTGCCGAAGGGAAATGAATTACATGGCGTTCTTTGTCGTTGGTGACAGGAGTTCCCTCCCTCGAAACTTGGTACCGAGGGGTCTTGAGAGAAAACATGTGGTGTTTTCACTGATGTTGTAGGTGTTGATGGCATCCGCCCTCGGCACTTGGTGCCGGAGGGGTTTTTTCTCGTGGTGAGGTGGTGGGCCTGTAGTCAGTATGAGGGCTTGATGTCTTGAATGTATCTTCATTCTTCGAAATTGGAGGCCTTGGGCCCTAGGATAGTACATTCACTAGTTATGAGGGCTTGGCCGCTCTTACATTATTGGTAAAATTTAATTAAGTGGTGTACATTCCAGTGCCTAGGGACTTCTTTCTCGTTGGGGCGTTTGAGCTTGTAGGTCCCGGGTTTGATGATGGCTGCTATGATGTAGGGGCCTTCGAATTTTGGTGCCATTTTTCCTCCCTCGGTCGGTTGGCTGGCTTCCCTCCTCCGGAGGACATAGTCCCCCACTTGAAATTCTCGGGTGCGAACTTTGGCGTCGATGTAGCTTTTGACTTGCCTTCGGTAGTTTTCTGCCCGGATGAAGGCCTGCTCCCGGCGTTCTGAAATGAGGTGGAGGTCGAGGGCCATGTTGCTGTCGTTGACCTCGGGGTCATATTGGATCACCCTTCGGGTGGGAAGGGTGACTTCCGTAGGAGCTTTGGCTTCGAAACCGTAGCAGAGGGAGAAGGGTGTCTCACTTGTTGCTCGCCGAGGGGTGGTGCGATAGGCCCAAAGGATGCTGTGGAGTTCTTCCACCCAGCCACCGCCCTCGGCCTCTAGCTTCTTTTTGAGGCCCTCGAGCAAGGTCCGGTTGGCATTCTCTACTTGCTCGTTGCCTTGAGGGTAGGCAACGGAGGAGAAGGTGTGTTTGATGCCCCATGCCTCCAGAAGGGCACAGAAGGGGGCTGCCTCAAATTTTGTCCCATTGTCGGAGATGATCTGCTGGGGGACGCCAAACCTTGTGAGGATGTTCTTGAGGACGAAGTGACGGCACTTCGCCTCTGTGATGCTGGCGAGGGGTTCAGCCTCCACCCACTTGGTAAAGTAGTCGACGGCCACGATGATGTATCTGTTGTTGGAGGTACCCCTCGGCAGAGGGCCCACAAGGTCTATCCCCCATCGAGAAAATGGGACAGAGGTGCTGATGGGGGCATAGTTGACCGCCGGTCTGCCGGGAGCTTTCTGGAAATGTTGACATGCGGTGCACCGCCGGGCAAGGACAGCACAATCCCGGGCCATGGTTGGCCAGAAGTAGCCCTGGAGAATGAGCCTTCGGGACATGGAGAAGGGTCCCTGGTGAGCTGAGCAAGTGCCACTGTGCACTTCCTCCATTGCGACCTCGGCTTCATCTGGATGAAGGCACCGAAGTAGCGTGCCATTGTAAGATCGTTTGTAGAGCCTTCCATCTTCGATGGTGTAGCTAGGAGCCCTTAGTTTTGTCAGTTTAGCGCGGGCCTCATTCTCGGGTAGCTGCCCTGTGGAGATGAAGGCGGTGATATCTGAGATCCAATCCTCCTGATGTTGTTGTATGTTCATAACGGGGCTTGCATGGATGCTTGAGAGGCTGAGTTCCTCGATCTTGGCAATTTTGGAGATGTGCTCGGGGGAGTCGGCCGAGAGCTTAGATAATATGTCGGCCTCGGAGTTCTGAGCCCTCGGTATTTGAGTGAGAGAGTGTGCCTCAAATACCTTAAGCAACTCCTTGGCCG